GTGTGTCGGGGAGGGGGGGTCTTTCTGAGAGAGAGAGAGAGAGAGAAGAGAGAGAGAGAGAGAGAGAGAGAGAGAGAGAGAGAGAGAGAGAGAGAGAGAGAATGTGTGTTAGCCCTGAGCAATGGTCAACTCTTATCCCACCCGATCCAGGTATACTCAGTAGTGTCATTCTTCAGCACCCTCAGGAAGGCCCTCAAGACTCTGAATGAGAAAGGGCCCGTTGTGAAGGAACAAGTTAGGGTGAAATCATAGCGACACCAGAAGACAATCATCAGAGAGAGTACTGGGACAGAGAAACAATGATGATGAAACGCAGCAGCTGCCATCCATTACGAACTTCTATACACCAGTTTCTAAGCTTTCCAAATATCCACTTAATTATTTGTACATTTTATTTATTGGTTTTGGGGCCACATCCCACGGTGCTCAGAACTTACTGCTGGTTCTGCACTCAGGGATCACTCCAGGTAGGGCTGGGAGGACCACATGTGGTAACGGAACCAGGTCAACTGTGTGCAAGGCAAGTGCCTTACCTGATGTATTACAACTTTGAACCCTGTTTTGTACATTTTAAATATACAAACATTTTCTTTGAGCACCGCTGGGGGTCAAACCCAAGGCTACATCCCTGGCCCCTAAGTGTACAAAAACTTGAAAGTACAAATAAGATAATTTCTGGGGTTTGTTTCTTCAATTTATTTTCTGGGGGGGGGGGGGTTCTGGAACAACACCTGGTGGTACTTAGGGGTTACTCCAGGCAGTGTCTAGGGGACCACAAGTGGTCTGGGAACCAAACCAGAACTGGCCATATGCTAAGTAAGTGCTTTAACCCCTATACTACCTCTCTGGCCCTCTGAGATATTTAGAGACACATAGTACATTGCCAGAGTCAAATCCAGTGAATAAGGTGGAAACTACCAGGAATCATGACACCCGGATGTGACGCTCAGAGGACAAAGCACTGCTTCTGTGGGCTTTTTGCTTCAAAAAAGGTCACCTCATTCTAAATGTGAGAAAACATCAGGCAAACTCAAATTGAAAGCCCTTCTACAAATAACCAGTTTTCAAAAGCATTAAAGGTCATGAAGTACAAGAAAAGACTGACAAGCTGAAACAGATTAGGGATCACGACAAAAATAACTGAATGCAATATGGAACCTTGAATGGAAAATGGTTACTAGTAAGGGGAAAAAAATGATCAAATTAAAGTAGATCTGCAGTGCAGTAACAGAATTAAAGAAATGCTGAGTTTTATCACTGTAATATAGCTGTGTAAGATGCTAAACTAGGGAAAGTCAGCTATAGCCATGACTATTCTATAGATCAGAAAGTAATTCATGAATTTTGAATTTTATTTTAATTTAAAGTTTCCCACATATAAGATTCTCCAAACCTGTACTGGCTCAGAAGAATAACTGAGTTGGTTGCAACAACATTGGTGACCAGAAATAAAAATGTTCAGACTTCCAATGCATAAAACATGCACACTGAAATCAAGTCACATCTGGTGGTGCTTGGGGGCTACTCCAAACTGTACTGAGGTCATCTGGTGCTCAGGGTCCCAGGCAGTGGCAGGGGGCTGATACAGGCCTCCATGCGCAGAACACGTACACCAGCCTTTTGAGCCCCCAGCTCTTTATTTTTTGCAAGATTTTTTCTTTTTTTTTTTTACTTCCGTTCCCTTCCCTTTGTTGTTGCTTTCTGCCAAGACCAGGAGTTGTACCACTGTGGCACTGGGGGGTCAAAAACAATAGTGCCCTTGGGATCATGCTTGACAATGTGAGGCAGGGATCAAACTCAGCCTCCTGCTTGGGAGGCAGCCACTCTACCCTCTACCCAAGCCTCTCAGGAACACAGCTGTACTTAAATGTGTACTATTACTGAATTAGATTTCATCAAGAAAACACAGATTTGAGAATAGGCAGGTGGGTGCTTTTAAATCAGGAAGTATACCTTAGAAATCACAAAATGAAACCCCACTGTTTTAGGTCTCCCCAAGCCCTGGAAACTCAAACACCCATAGCCCAGAGGAGTGGGGGCAGGGAGTGACTGAATGAGACGTATAACAGCATCTGCACTGGGCTGCCTGTAAAGGGGATGGAATTCAGCACAGGGCTGGAGAGTGGAAAGGGGTGAGTGGATTCCCAAGGGCAAGAAGAAATCCTAGACACTGGGGAGGGGAGGAGAAGTGTGCTGGAAATAAACGTGCAGGTTTGCCTTTGGTTTGAAGAACTAATCGCTTCTTACAGAAGTGATAAAAAGTGGGGTTGATGACGAAGAGTGGTAAAAACACCAGGTTGGGGGGATGGGGAGGGAACTGCAGAGGGCAGAAAGAGGACCCCGTGGGAGAGGCCCAGAGATGATGTGGGCCAGTGCAAAGCTCTGGCCCAGGGAGTTGACAGGACAAGGAGGCATCTCCTGGTGTAACAGATGCGAGGGAAAGCTGGTGAGGAAGGAAGCTACTGTAAACAAATAGGAGATAATATATGATCCGGTTAGTGTGGTCCAAGTCTGGAAGCCAGCTATAGTCCTGAGGACCCACCAGTTCAGGAAAATGCAGTCTGCTTCCTCCCCCAGACAAAATCACCTTCAATTAACAATAAAAGGATGCAAAGATAAAGATGAAGAAGCACAAGACAGCAGCACAGAAATGTTATAAAGCATCAATAGCAAGATCTCGGTGTGCAAGCTGGGACACAAGGAGCCGAGTTAAAGGACAACTGGAGAAAAAGCACAGCCCAGAACAAAAATGGAAGCAACATGGCCTAAGGAGCCCACCTTCCAGAGTGATCGAGGGAATGGGCAGCTGCACATCAGAGGGCCAAGCCCCCAGCACACACAAAACTTAGTAAGACTCCATTTTTTTCTCTTTTGAGGGTGCCTCCCAAACAGTGCTCAGTCCCTCACAATGACACTTGGCCAAAAGGACTCAGTGGTTCAATGCAAGGGCCTGAGGACCCTACACCGCTCGGAGGCCACTTGGACTACATGGGCAGCGCTGGCCAGAAAAGTTCCACCAGATTAAAAAGGCCTAGAGATGTGGCACAGTAACAGACATATGCCTTAACTGTATGAGGTTGAGTGTGATCACCAGCACTGAAAACAAAAGAAAGATCTAGAGATGATCTCACCCACCAAACATCATCAGCACCTAGGACTTTGATCTAATAACACAACAGGAAGGCCGCAAGAAGCTGGCAAGAAGCTGTCAGTGGTCCTCCAAATAGTGCCTCCAAAATCTGCTCTCTCCCTTCTCTGCAGGACATTGAAATCTCAAAGGAGAATTCCTTTAAGGAAAAACTAAAGAAATTTCCCTCAGAGAAGAAATCTGGTACCTGCAAATGTAGAGATAAGTTATATGAAGACATACAAATTGTGAAAGTTCTGTGAGCATTACTGTTCTCCTCGAAACCCAAACCTAGGGCCTGGAGCAATAGCACAATGGGTAGAGCATTTGCCTTGCACACGGCCGACCCAGGTTCAACTCCCGGCATCCCATATGGTCCCCTAAGCACCGCCATGGGTAATTCCTGAGTGCAGAGCCAGGAGTGGCCCCTGTGCATCGCCAGGTATGACCAAAAAGAAAAAGAAAAAGAAGAAACTCAAACCTAGGGTGACCCTCTGAGAAATATGCTAGCAACCACGAGGGGCAGTGAAGCCAAATGCTGGCACAGGAAACCTCTAGAAGGAACAAGTTAACAACAGTCTTCAAAACCACATCTAGTATCTGTGTCTTGTACTTTGAGACGCTGATAGGGCCTCCCAATTCTTAGCAGTCTGCTAGATGCCGTCCCAAGACTAATTCAATGCCTTGGGCTTCATCAAATGTCTATTTGTTGAATATTAAACAAGCAGTGAGAATAGGAAAGTAAAGAAGCTTTCGCTTTTTTAATTTCCTCTCCTCCTCTTATGGTCTATATTACAATAAGCAGAGCTGCACATACCCCAGGCTCTGATATTGGCTGGGGCTGCCCCTCAGAGGCTGTGGTGCTCCCCGAGATATACACTCTGGTGGACAGGGTGCTCGGTATGTGCAAGCCAGGCCCCCCATTCTTCACTGAGGTATACAAGTCATGACTGAGATGCTCACTTACCTTTTCAGTTGTGCTGGCCAGGGGCCTGCCATGCCCCTTTATGTGGTGCTTGCACACATCTCGCTGTGGTGTGGCCAGACATCACATGTGGTGCCGGGAGTTCTGACAACAGGGCTGTCAGGGATGCCTTGGGTGTATGTGGGACACTGGGAGTTTGAGCTCTGACCATATGCTTGCTCAGCAGGCACTCTGAGCCCCTGTGCTATTCGTCTTTTCTAAGAAAGAGACTTGAGAGGTCAAGGCTGCCTGCTATTGTGGATGAAAATTCCAAAACAGATATCATAGTTCGTACAGTCTCAACAGGGCTGCTCTAATTCCTAGTTCTTCATACTCACTGAGAATGAAAGGAAGCATAATAATTATTCATGCTTCTCCTTAACAATTCTCAGTGGGAAAACACTTTTAAGAATTTTAAATGCAAAAATAAAGGGCCCAGTGAGGCAGAAAAATGTTACAGTTCAGTACTACTGGATCAGTTTCTGGGGGAAATGGCCTCTGTGAGCAAAATTAGTCAAGTAGTGGTAACAAACCATAAAGGATTATTATAGGGCTGGAAAGATAGCACAGTGGGTAGGGCGCTTACTTTGTACTTGGCAGACCCAGGGTGAATCCCTGATACCCCATATGGTCTCCCTGGTCCCTCCAGAAATGATGCCTGAGAAAGAGCCAGGAGAGAGCCCTGAGCACTGCTGAGTGTGGCCTCAAAACTAAATTACCAAATAAGTTAAAAAATGTTTTTTAATCATACATTTGGTCAAAGTAACAATGGCACTGCTATGGTTCCCCAAACCTTCCAGGAGTGACCCCCTGTGTAGAGAGCCAAGAGTGAGCTCTGAGCACAGCCAGTGTCCCAAAAACAAAAAGAAAAACTGAAGGAAAAAAAAAAGACAGAAATTACACAAGATAATTAAAAATACAGTGACTTTATTTCTACCTTCTCACAATCCTCAAGTGTCACATCTGGTAAGAATCTTCAATTCTATAAACACAAAAATATTTCAAGAAAGCATTTTACAATATATATATAGCAGTTTGGCATAATTTTAAACTAGTTTACACCCACCCTCAAAAAAAAAAACACTTTAAAATTCAAAAATAACAATTAGCTTTAATAAACATATATTACAACTTAACACTTACAATGTCATGCTCTAATTAAATATTTTAACAACACTGTATACAAATAAAATATTACACAAAATATATTTAAGAAAATGTTTTGGTCTTTGATCTGAATAATAAATAAAAACACAGGCACTTCTACACCGAGACAGGGAAGAGTCACTACTCAGTATAACTATTTTCTATAAGCAACATGTGAAAATATGGCAAGAACAGAATCCTGGAGTTTTAAACTGACAGACTGTTACTCATGAAAAGGTCTGCAACTTTAATCTTTTCACTCAGAAGTTACATTTGCTTTCCTGGGCTATACTGGAAAACCATAAACAAAATATGGCTCCCAGGATCAATTCAATCCTTGTTGGCCATTATGGAATCATACTCCGATTTTTTCAAATACTAAAAATGGAGAACTATGACTCCATCCAGCAAACCAAATATAAGTTAAACTTGCTCCTTATTATGACTGAAGACCACAAAATAAATGAGATAAAATATTACACAATGATTCTAATTTTACAAAATTTACTGATAAAATTAACACAAGTAAATACTGTCGAGGCAGCAGGACATTTAAAAGGAAGTCAATTTTTCTAGACCAAAAAAAGAATCCAAAGACTCTAAAAATAAATGTTAATTCCATTTTACAAAAAAACCAATACTTGTACATAACAAAAGTTTTTGTAGCCAATAGGTTTATAAACAACTAAACTGCAGATAATTCTGTCATAATGAAAAACAGAAACATTACCATGAGAGAAAAACAAAAAATTTTAAATGGCTAAATTCACAAACTTAAGGGTTCAGATGATTCAAGGGATCATTCAAGGGATCAATGAGAAACTAATGACCACTAGCCAATTATCCAACTGCAACTTCCCTGAAAACATGAATGCTCTGGTTTCCCTCTTCAGAAAGTACCACATTGGAGGACAGAAAAGCCTGCAAATAGATACTACTTATGAAGGCAATTTTGATGGTTTACATAGAAATTATCCCTAGTGTGTAGCAATACAACATGGGAACTATTCAAGATAAGCCTTCCTATGCAAAAGTTAGTTTGTAACCTATTTTAACATTTTAAATGAACATTTTGCAATCGAGACCATATATCAATCATCTCCTGAGGTTTTCTACTGTGTACTAACATCAGATTGAGATAGGAACAAATGTTATTCTTGTTCTTCTCTTCTATATCAAAGGTCTTGAAGCCATCATGTTTCTCTGGAACGAGGCCAAGTTTCTGAAGGCACATTCCAGTATAAACGTCATCAATGGGGTAGAGAAGGACCCGGTCAGTGACATTGTACAGCCTCAAGGCCAGGGGGCCCGAGAAGAGGAATCCACCTCCCCCCGCGTAAGGCGGGTAGACACCAGTGTAAACAACTTCAGGGATGTAGTACTTCAGTTTCTTATTCCGATGAGGTCCAGCATTGTGGATCACGTCACCTATAAACAAATCTTTGGCCTTCTTCTTAGATAAGCTATTCAAGTAATTCAGGATATGGTGGGTGTTCACAAAGACATCGTCATCGCCCTTGAAAACGAACTCTGCATCCGGGCAGGAGGTGCTCACCCACTTGAGAAAGAGCACTTCCTTCAGAGACAGGTTGAAGAAAGTGTCTCTGTAGTTCCACAGGAGAATGTCCTGGTGCTTCTCGCTCTCGTATTTCAGCATGTAGGACAGGTCAGGGTGGTTGTCCTCTGGGGGAGTCTGGCCCAGCAAGAAGACCCGCACCACTGTGTGGTTTCCCACATTGGTTTCTCGGCCCCAAGACTCCCGAATGGCTTGCCTTCGAGCAAAATGTGAAGTGAGGGACTTAATCGCCAGCAACAGGAAGGGTTTCTTTGCACACTTATTTGGCTGATCGATGAGCAGGGAATAATTTCGACATCTCAGATACAGTAGGAAGTCTTTAAATCTGTCTGGCAAACTGCTGAAGCCTGAAACAATGGATGTGACCCTCAGGTCAGGTTCACAGTAATTCAGATGGCTTGTATTAGAAAACCCATATGCATCCCCCGTCTGGTTGGCAAACATGTTCAGAATGGGATTGTACTTCCTGTTCAGTTTCTCTTGTTCTCTGTTCCAATAGGCCGCAGGTGGCTCCGATATCCTCCAGAACTTTTCTTTGGGTATTATGACTTCCCCCTTGGCATTCTTCTCTGGGTTACTATTTTTGGAGACTTCCACAATCAAATAAATGAAGACATTTACCATCATCAGGATACCCAACAACTTTATTCTTCGACGTCCAACACTCATTTCTCATATCTGGAATAAAAGGGAGGAGGCACCATATTAATGACCAGTTTGCATTTGCTCGCATGTGCTCACTTAAGTCACTTGCCTGCCTCTCGGTCTCTGTCACCACTGGACTCAAAGTTTATTTTTCGGTTTGGGGGGCACACTTGGTTGTATTCGGGGACCATGTGGTGCTGAGGACTAAACAGGGGCCTCCTATATGCAGAACTTGTACCCCAGCCCTTGAGTTCTCTCGCTGACCCCGAAGTGTGGTTTTGAGTTGATACTAAATTTGCCATTGCCATGGCTCAATTCATGGCCCTTTCATCTTGGCTCAGAGAACATGACGACACTGTATTGATATTGTGACTTCTCCATCTATAAAATAGAGAAAATGACCTATTCCAAAGGATGGCTGAAAGCTCTTTATGTATACATGCAGAGGCCTATAGCAAGCACTTAAGTGACTGAGCAGCTGACACCCCTGGCAGATACATGCTGAATAAGCCCCACAGATGTTCAACTTCCTTGCTTACAAAGAAACAAAAAATTGTATACAGCAAACTTATTTGCTCACAATTCACAAGTATGTGTAGCTCCATCTGTGGAAACTGTGAAATGTGAAAATTTCGCTGATTTTCTATTGATTTCATTTCATTGTTTAAAATATGATGGTCTCAACCCTGAATTGATTTTCCAACCCACCATTTGCAGATGAGGAAACCATGGAACTGGAGAGATATTACAAAGGGTAAGGTGCTTGTCTTACATGTAGCCAGACAAGGTTTGATCCCCAGTAACACATATCTGCCAGGAGTAATCCCTGAGCAAGGAACCAGCAGCAAGCCCTGTGCACAGCCAGGCGTGACACCCCTCCCTGCCCCCCCCCAAAAAAAAAACCAAAACAAGAAACAGATGAGAAAACCAAAAACAAAGATTAAGCTCTTGCCCAAGGTTGCAGGGGGATAGGAGATGGAAGAAGAGACATTAGTATCACTGAGTATCTTAAGAGACTAAGGATTTTTAAAAAAGGGGTGGAGCAACACACGGCCAACCCAGGTTTGATTCCCAGCATCCCATATGATCCCCCGGGCACCGCCAGGAGTGATTCCTGAGTGCAAAGCCAGGAGTAACCCCTGAGCACCACCGGGTATGACCCAAAGAGCAAAATAAAAAAGAAAGAAAGAAAAGAAAAGGGTGTTTGCTTCCACAGCACCCAAAAGTAGAGAGAGTACAAAAGGGAATGCCCTGCCACAAAGGCAGGGTAGGATGGGGGAACGGGGGATGGGAGGGGCACTGGGATCTGTGGTGGTGGAGGGATGGGTACTCGATCATTGTATAATTGAAACCCAAGCACAAAAATTTGTAAGTCTACAACTGTACCTCAAGGTGTTTCACTAATAAATAATAAAATAGATTTAAAGTTAAAAAAAAGAGAGACGGGGGATGTTTGCTTGCATGCAGCCAACCTGGGTTCGATCCCCAGCATTCCATATGGTCCCCTGAGCACCTCCAGGAGAAACTCCTGTGCACTGCTGGGTGTGACAAGGAAAGGAAAGGGAAAGGGAAAGGGAAAGGGAAAGGGAAAGGAAAGGAAAGGAAAGGAAAGGAAAGGAAAGGAAAGGAAAGGAAAGGAAAGGAAAGGGAAGGGAAGCCTCATACCAGTTTATCCTAGTAGACCCACACTGATAATTATCGTACTGTATACTAGCAACATTACATGAAAGGCACTCCCCTGCTAAGTTCCATTTCTGTTAGGTTTAAGAAGGCAAAATTAATATATATCCTAGAAAACTATACATGATGAGGGATAGCTTTAAACTACAAAGGTGCAGGAGAGACCTTTTTCTGAGGGACAGAAATTTAATATGTATGTCTGGATTGAGTTCCATAAGTAGGTACATTTCTCGAAACTCAAATTATAAACTTAAGATCGGTGCAGTTTATAGAGAAAAAAGGAAAAAAGAAATGAATATGGCATTTCAGTGAAATATCAAAGGTCAAGAATAGACTGCAGGCTGAGGCTACAGAACAAAGAGTAATGAAACAGTTCACTGGGGTGTAACTCCGGAGTTCAACACCATTCAATGCATAACCCACACGAGAATATCCACTTAATGGACATGGAGAGTATCACACTAAGTGAAATTAGTCAGAAAGACCGGAACAGACATAGAATGACTGCACTCATTTGTGGAATATAAAGTAACATAATATCAGACTAACACCTAAGAACAGTAGAGACAAAAGCCAGAAGGACAGCTCCACAATTTGGAAGCCAGCCTCATGTACTGGGAGAAAAGACAGGATGGAGAAGGGACCAATAAGTAAATGATGGTTGGAGAGAGAGTGAGAGAGACAGAGAGAGAGAGAGACACAGAGAGAGAGAGAGAGAGAGAGAGAGAGAGAGAGAAAGAAAGAAAGAAAGAAAGAAAGAAAGAAAGAAAGAAAGAAAGAGAGAAAAAGGAAAGAAAGAAGGAAGAAAGGTGCCTGTTGCAGAGGCAGGGGGTGGGGTAGGGTGGGGGTGGCAGGAGGGATACTGGAAACATTGGTGGTGGAAAATGCGTACTGATGGAGGGATGGGAATTCAATCATTGTATGACTGAAACTTAAAGTTTGTTAACTAAAGCATTCAGCCGAAGAGAAGGACTACATGGAGGGCGGGATCCACAGATCCCGAAGGAAAAAAAAAAAAAACAGGTTCCAAAAAGAGCCGAGATCATCGGGAAGTCCCAGATGGGGTAGGTACCGCATCCCGCCTCCCCCAGATGGAACCCCGGTGACCAGAAGCCTCTACAAGCACAGCTCGAGTATGTGGGAACTAGGACTTTTCCTCAAAACCGCGCGGCCGCTTAGGCGGCCGCGCGACATCTCTCTATATACAAAGTGAACCATGGGAAGTAAACCACCCAACGTTTCTCTCTGAAAATCATAGTTAAGTTTGGAGCACGGCCACAGCCCAGAAACACAAGGACTTAATGCATAACCCAGCAGCTTGGAGCAGAAAAGTGAACGGACTATGCGTTAATCCAGGCCATCAAGTCTGCCGGAAGGGAAAGGGTGTTGCCCCATTCGCCCTCTCTTCTCTGGAAAGAAGGATGGCGGCCGCATGGGAGCCTTGTGGACAGCAGGTATGAGCCGGGGTTTGGGGGCGACGAAAACCTCATGGGAAGGGGGGGCGTTCCGGTCCGTCCTTCACGCCCTAGCAAGGTCACCAGTTGCCCCCCACTAGCGGCTCTCCAGCACGGCCACAGCCCCAGAAGCACAAGAACATAATGCAGAAACCAGCAGCTTGGAGCAGAAAAGTGGAAAGGACTATGCGTTAATCCAGGCCATCATGTCTGTCCGGAGGGGAAAGGGTGTTGCCCCATTCGCCCTCTCCTCTCTGGAAAGAAGGATGGCGGCCGCATGGGAGCCTTGTGGACAGCAGGTATGAGCCGGGGATGTGGGGGTGACTAAAACCTCATGGGAAGGGGGGCGTTCCGGTCCGTCCTTCACGCCCTACCGAGGCCACCAGTTGCCCCCCACTAGTGGCTCTCCAGCACAGCCACAACTCCAGAGCACAGAAACCAATTTCTTAACTATCTGACTTTCAGTAGAAATACTTCCAGGGTCAATAAGTAAAATAGCAGAAATCCAAAACCAACATTTAATTCTTGAACCCAGCTGTAAAAAGCAAATCACTTCACAATGCTTTTTCAGCATGTCTGATTGGGGGGGGGGGGGGTAAACTCTAAACAATAGTGGTGAATCTTTTATTGAAACAATGAATCTAATCAAAGCAGATAGAGTGTTAACTAGAATTCATCTGCCTCACAGGGACTGGGAGGGGTGGGGGATGGGGTCTTATTGGGGTTCTTCATGGTAAAAAATAAGTATTGGTAAAGGGAAATGTGTTTGATATTTGCATGACTGAGACCTAAACCTGAAAGCTTTGTAACCTTTCCCACGGTGATTCAATAAATAAATAAATAAAATAAAGTTTGTTAACTGTATCTCACGGTGATTCAATAAAAAATAAAAGTAAGAATAACCACTTAGATAAGCTTCATGTTAAATATAAAAACAACCTAAAAAATGGAATAGCAATTCAGTGTCAGAGTTTCTTAAGCAGTTAAGGCTATTGCTGGAAATTAATATTCAACAAAGAATCCGAAAGGCATACTGAGTCCCAGGCACAGAATTCAAAGGCTTCTTACATTTTTTCCATTTGCAAACCCCTCCTGCCCCCAAAATATTTGTGTGACCCTGGGCACATAAGCATATATAACAGGCATACAAAAATATTTACTGATAATCTTAAAATAAAGTTTTTAGTTTATATTTCGACAATTCCCAGCTATGCTCAGAAATCACTCCTGGCAGTACTCAGGGAACCAGATACAGCATTAGGGATCAACCTAGGGATGTCCATGGCCATAAGGTAAGACTTTAACCTCTGTACTCTATCTCTGACAATATATTTCACACATACCCCCAAAGCCAATTTACAACTCTATATGGGGTCCTGATCCATTGTTAAGAAGCCAGGCATTATCTTACTTGACATAGTCTATGAAGTAGGTATTGGCACCTTTGTTTCTGTTTTATACCTGAGGGAACAAAGAATAACTGTGTTAAGGACAGAGCTGGAATCCCAGTCAAGGAAGAAGGATTCCAAGGCCACTGTGTCAAATGTGGATTGTAATCTACAACAAAGGAGTGTGACTATTTTAGTGAGGGATAGTGTTTACTACTTTTTTACACAGAGGATTTTTGAATTTAATGAATTCTAACAGTCTCTGGGTAGCTGTGCTGAAAATGCTTTGACACTGCTGTATGTTAACTGTCCTGACTGGATGAGTAGGAATTGTCTCTCTTTAATCCTAACCTTGTTTTTTTTTTTTTTACTATCACTACTAAACAGTTTCAATCATAAGTGAAAGTTATCTTTTAACTTTTCAAAACTTCCTCCATAAATTAGTACCAAAAACCCCCCCCACATTTCTTATTCCATAACTACAATTTAAAAGAGTCTCAAGTCACACATG